ATTTCTTAATTTTTTTAATACAAATAAACAGCATATAAATAAATGTAAGAGGTGTAACAGAAAGATACTCTATATTCATGAGCAGGAAAGAGTAAAATATAGAGAATTATAGAAAACATTACTGTATCACATCTATCTGCAAGCAATGTCTACCGGAACAGTAGAAAGTCTAACAATATTTGATGGTGAGCTAGCATTACCTGTTAGTATGATATCACAGGAAACCTGGTGAATGGCTTCATGGTCCGTGGAAATATCGGGAATCTTTTACGATATGGAGTTCTAAGTTCTTGTGATTTAATCTTGACATGTCTTGGCATATCTCGCTTTTTATATCAGTGGATTACCTTATGGTTCTACTGTAACGGTATTGCAATTTCATGGGCAATGTTTACTTTTTTTTTTTTTAAACTCTCGTTTTCTTCAACAACACCTGTCTCTGGTTTTCCACTTGGCTTTGTACCTTTTACTGTGTCCGGATTGTTAATATCAACTGGAACATCTTCACGATTTTAAAAAGGCAGTTAGACATATGGATGAAGTGGTCTGGGCGCCAGGTCCATCTAGGTTTAACCCTTTTTGCAGTAAACATAGCAGTTTCAGAAAAACTGCTATGTTTACAAATGGGTTAATCCAGCCTCTAGTGGCTGTCTCATTGACAGCCGCTAAAGGCGCTTCTGCGCCAGCGTCCATAGAAAACACCCCTCACACACACACACAGCTACCCTCAGACACACACAGCAACCCTTGCACACACACAGCACCCCACACACAAACACATGCACTGCACCCCTCAATGCAATATATGTGTATTCAGCAGTCTGTGTGTGTGCGTGTATTCAGCAATCTGTGTGTGTGCATGTATTCAGCAGTCTGTGTGTGCGCATGCATGTATTCAGCATGTGTGTGCATGTATTCAGCAGTCTGTGTGTGCGCATGCATGTATTCAGCATGTGTGTGCATGTATTCAGCATGTGTGTGTGTACTCAGCGGACTGTGTGTGTATTCAGCGGACTGTGTGTGTATGTATTCAGTAGTCTGTGTGTGTGCGTGTATTCAGCATGTGTGTGCGCATGTATTCAGCAGTCGGTGTGTATGTATTGCATTTGTTGGAGATACTAATAAATATAAGCTTAATTTTATCTATTTATGTCATTAATTAAAATTGGTATCATTGAACTCTCTGTGTTCTTCTATTAAAGCAACAGTTGGTATTTAGTTCGGACAACTGTACGAGTAGTTTTTTTCTAAACTTAAACCTCAGTATTCAGGTTTAACTGCCGTGTTGGCACTTTAAGGGAAAAAAAAGTTGTCATATATTGCGGTTTGGGCACTCGGGCTCACAAAGGTTCGCCATCACTGCTCTATACTATGAAACCGTAGGCAATTGCTATTTTTATGATAGATACCTGTTACAGGGGTGTGAAACTTGCCCTAGAAAGAGTGTTTACATTTCCAGGGGTCCTCATTGCGTGGTGATTTCACTGGGATTCTGGGAGTGCCTTCTGACCCCAAGAATGTGGGTTTCGATGTGGCAGTCTCATTTTCTATTTTAGATTGTGTTGGATTTTCAGTGACATTCCAACGCAGACCTAATCAGTATTTTATAAAGATTATATCTTAAAAGTGACAGATCTACTTTAAAGTGAGTTTTTGGTGTGAATGTTCAGTAGATTTTATGGATGTAGACCCTTTTGTCTGTTTGGTAATTGAAAGGGGCTGACGATCAGGATTTATACAAATTATTCTTATTATTATACATAAGAGATGCCTTTTAGCTTGAAATCCATAAGAAAGACAAAGGTAAATGTAAAATGAATGGGGATAAGAGCAGCGTAGGAAGGATAGTCACTCAGGATGAAAGAGAATCAGTCCATTGGTGGCCGGACAATAGGGTTGGTGGCAGTGGCGTACACCTGACCCATGGGGCCCCGGTGCGAAAATTGATCCCCTCTTGGCGTCGCGAACGCCCAACACATGGTAATTTAGGCACCTGGTGCTTAGGGGTTACAGATGCGACCCCTAGACCCCCTGCGACCATGGTATATGCGCCAGTGCATGCAGATGCACACACACTTAAGGACCACTCTAGGCACCCAGACCACTTCAGCTTAATGAAGTGGTCTGGGTGCCAGGTCCCTCTAGGGTTAACCCATTTTTTTATAAACATAACAGTTTCAGAGAAACTGCTATGTTTATGAATGGGTTAAGCCTTCCCCTATTTCCTCTAGTGGCTGTCTCAGTGACAGCCACTAGAGGCGCTTGCGTGCTTCTCACTGTGATTTTCACAGTGAGAGCACGCCAGCGTCCATAGGAAAGCATTATGAATGCTTTCCTATGTGACCCGGCTGAATGCACGCGCAGCTCTTGCCGCGCGTGCGCATTCAGCCCAGGAGGAGGATCGGAGGAGGAGAGCTCCCCGACCAGCGCTGGAAAAAGGTAAGTTTAACCCTTTTTCCCCCTTCCAGAGCTGGACGGGAGTGGGACCCTGAGGGTGGGGGCACCTTTAAAGGACCACTACAACACAGATCACATCAAAGCTCAATGAAGTTGTCTGGGTGTCAGGTCCCTCTAGTTTTAACCCTGCAGCTGAAAACATAGCAGTTTCAGAGAAACTGCTATGTTTCACTGAGGGTTAATCCAGCCTCTAGTGGCTGTCTCACTGACAGCCGCTAGAGGAGCACACTGAACGTCCATAGGAAAGCATTGAGTAATGCTCCTATGGGCGGTTTGAATGCGTGGGTCGCATTCGGAGCTGAGAGGCTGAGGGATCCCCAGCGCCAAGGGAGTCCGGCTGGAGAAAGGTAAGTGCTGAAGACACACACAAACTCACACTTACAGACGCATACACACTAGCTAACAGACACACACATTTACTGACAGAGACACAGTCAGCGACAGACATACATACACACTCACTTACAAAACATACACTCTCATTGACAAACACACACTCACTAACAGACATCAAACAGACTCACTAACACACACACTCAGTAAGACACACAGTAACACACTCACTGACACTCACTAGCAGACACACACACTAACACTCACACTCACTCTAACACTCACACACACTAACACTCACACTAACTCACTAGCAGACACACACACTAACACTCACACACACTAACACTCACTAGCAGACACACACACTAACACTCACTGTAACACACACACACTAACACTCACTAGCAGACACACACACACACTCTAACACTCACACTTTTTTTTTTTTAATGTAATCCCCCCAGCCTCCTTACCTTTTGGAGTGCTGGGGGGATTCCCTGGGGTCCAGTGGTGCTGCTGGGCTCCTGGGCGGGTGGCCGGTCGGGCAGGCGGGCGCGCGAGGGAGCACTCAGTGCTTCCTCTTCAGCTCCCTCGTGTGCCGCATAAGGATGCCGACGTCATCTTCCGGCGCCATCTTCCGCTTCGGTATCATTGCGGTATCCTCGGGGGGGCCTGGGGTGGTCGGCTCCTGGGCCCCCCAGGGGAAGAGGCTGGCCCTGTGGCTACATACCGGGTCGCAGGGGCGGCCGGGCCCCCTGGTGGGCCGGGCGCGGTCGCAGCCGCGACCCTGGTATGTAGCCACTGGTTGGTGGAGAGGTGCCTCTCCTAGTTGTTGATTAAATAAAATTGCCCTATCTTTAAGGAATATCATTGATTAACAGCATATCAGGTGATTTAATAGGACCTTTTTTAAAGTGTTTTTTGTTTCCTAAATATTTGTATTATAACAGATCACCTATACTCCGACCGAGTACCTTCCGTTGACGGACGCTTCCTAGCTGACGCTGAGGACCATAAGCACCAGACTCCACAACCGCTGTCTCGCCGTCTTCCTTCCACTCTGGATCAGCCTCTGTCCTCCAGGACTGTGTGGGAAAGAACGGAGGCCGTTCATGCAAATAGGCAAAGTTAATGTGGCGTTCGTATAGTCAAATGCTGTTCGACTACTGTTGAAGCGCCAAAGTCACATAGAAGGTAAATGTTCAGCGGTGTTCATGGTGTCGCATATCCAATTGCAGTTCCATGAACTCGACGACCAAACACCGCTGAACGCATTTGAATGAATTAAAATGGCCGCCGCCACGTGTTCGTTTGTTGAATGGCGGCAACTTTGGCTACTTCGGCAGCATCCAAAGTGCCACTTCAAAAGTGAAGAATTGTAGCAATACAATTTAAAGGGCCAGAAACAGTCTCCAAAGTACAAGAGCCATAAATAAAGGTGTTTAAATGGTAATAACTCCTAGGGGCCATAGTCACAAGGCAAAAGGCTGGCCATTAGTCCTCTCCAAGAACAAGTGGGTACTTCGTCACATGTATCTATAGGTTAATGGCACTGAACAGTGCATCGCGCCTCATTGGGACAGGGCCAGATCGCAATTTCTGGAGACGTCAAGCAACTCACCATCTTTAAACTGCACCAGCCACCATTGAATCAGACAGATTGCAATATAACCTTGTTATGATGGAAGCAGATGATCTAGCAGATGATGAAGGAAGGAAATGGAGGAAAAAAGTGACAATATCTTTGGACCTCCACAAAACACGTGTGGGATAATTAACTGTGAATGGTTAAACAGACTCTGAAAACCTGAGTTTCCATGTAACAGACAAACAGCCCAATTCAAACAAATGGCTTCTCATCTATACAACATCTAAAACAAAATAGAACATCAATGAAACAATACAAACTTATTTGATAAAATAAAGTAGAAAAGGAATGAGGAGCCTAAAAGGAAAATCTGTCTGTATAATAAATATGCTGCTTTCTTTGCACATGTGAATTTATTAAAAAATAATAAATGTATAAACTACTCATATTATATATTTCTCCAAATCACCACAGGTCTGTCTGCAGAAAAACAATGGAACTTACATAAAATATATTTACAATAAAAATTTCCCAGAAATAAAAGATAGGGGCCAGTAAGCACCAGCAGTGGTCTACTAATGGGTGGGAGGGCAGAGGGACAATGTGTCCTAGGTGACAGGAGGTGCACAGAACACACCCCTTCCCAGAGCAGGCACCTATCACGTGGCACCTCAATGAGCAAGGTGACGGTAGACAGGTCTGATGCTGTGGGTGCTTGCGAAAGATATTCAAGGGATCACTCTGCACTGAGAACACAGCTAGTCGATACAGAAGTGAGTCGTATCATCTCACTTAGGTACCAGCACTACCGGAGAGGACCAGGGGCTCTGAGACGGCTCTATGACCCCTATGCTTAACATGTCCTGAATTTCTTTCAGTATGTTTTTCCTAACTGCTTCAGGGATACGGTAAGGTTGTTGCCATAGTGGGGTTTCTCCCTGCGTCTCTACTCAGTGGACCACGGCGGAGGTGCACCCGGGTAGGGAAGAGAACATTACCAAGGTATCCTTGGAGCAGCTGGGTGGCCTCTGCCTTTTCTAGGGGGGTTAGCTTTTCCCCTAGGCTGACCTGCTCTACACTGCCCAGGGATGGAGCGAGCAGGTCAGGTAAGGGCACATACCGTGGCCATGTCCTCTGTCCTCTCAAAATAGGGTTTTAACATGTTCACAAGGATCGTCGTATCCTTTCATCTGAACATTTCCCTATGTGCTCCACTACCCAGAAGGGTCCCTGCAAGGCGGCCTGAAGCTTGTCCTTTTTGGTTGGCTTCAGAGCTAATACCTTCTGTCCTGTTTCTAGAACCTTATCTCGGGCACTCCATACCATCACTTCTGGCATCGCTGAGCCGCCGGTAGATTCTCAGGATTCTCAGGACCTCCTGCAGGCTCTCAGAGTCAGTGAGAGCCTGCAGGAGGTCCTTCAGCTACAGGACATAGGGAGCACTCTCCTGTGTCACCCTCCCAGTGCTCCCGTATAAGGTCCAGGGATCCCTGTACTTTTCAGGACATAGGGTCCAATAGGGATCCCAGGGGTCCCTGTACTTTTCAGGACATAGGGTCCAATAGGGATCCTTCCCTCTCCTGTGTCACCCTCCCAGTGCTCCTGTATGAAGTCCAGGGGTCCCCGTACTTTTCTCCCGTATAGGAGTTCAAAGGGGGAGAACCCTGTAGACTACTGGGGCACTTCACAGTAGGCAAACAGGAGGTGGGAAAGGAACCTTACCCAGTTCCAAAAGGCGGCTGTGAATGTTTTGAGCATCTGTTTGAGCGTACTATTAAAACGTTCACAGAGTTAGTTCGTATGGGGATGGTAGAGCAAACTAAACAGGGGTTTTACTCTGCAACTCTGCCACAATTGCCATATATTGGGTCCCCAGGTGAGACAAGATCTCCAGAGGGGAGATGAAATTTTAACTAGGGCCTCAGCTACGGTTTCTGCCTCTACATTAGGGAGGGCTATGGCTTCTGGATACCAAGTAGCGTAGTCTACCACGGTAAGAATGGATTTCTTGCTGGGCTTACAGAGGGGTCCTATCAAGTCCACCGCTACTCAGTGGAAAGGTTCCTCAATTATGTGTAATGGGTACAACTTGGCCTTTGGATGGCCACCCCTCTTTCCTATCTTTTGGTAATTCTGCAGGTCCCTGGTGATCCCTGGCTAAAAAAGGTCTGGGTTAACTGGTCCTTAGTTTTCTGGATAACTAGATGTCCTTCTAGGGGAATGTCATGGCTAAGCTTAAGTATCTCAGCCCGATATTTGCGGGGCACTACCAGCTGTCTTTTAGCCACTTGCGCTGCTCCGTTCCCTCTTCCCCCTGTAACTCTGTACAACAACTCCTTCTCCCACTCAAACCTCTCCTGCTTTATATCTCCTTGGGGTGACCCTGCCTGTTTTCTATACTTTTCTAGAGTGGGGTCAGCCCTCTGTTCACTTTCAAATCCGTGGGGGGTACCTCAGTACGGGGTGGGGTTCTTGCTAGGGTTGGGACATAGGCTCCTCGGAGTGCGTTGGCTCTCTCCTGCGGAATTTAAGTCTTGTGGTCACGTGTAAGGTCTCCTCTGGGCCAGGAGCAGTGAAATGTGACATCAGGTGAAAAACAAACAAATAATAGTGCAGACAATCTAAATAAACAATGATGTGAAAAAGAAGAAATCTAAGGGAAAAAAACTCACATATCCCAGAGCCCTATAACCCCTGGCTTTGGGTTTGCAAGGCTCCTTTGGAGAGGGGATATCCCCACACTGGCAATCGTTCCAAAAGGTGTATCCACTGGTAGTTCAATTATATTGGGATGTAGTGGGTATAGACTCGCAGAGTCACCCACATAAAAGCATGTAAAGTAGTATAGAATGCAAATCCCTTCCTGGTTTTGATCCGATCACGTGATCCACTTCCGGGTCCACCCCTCTGATGACGTCCATGTATGTAAATATTGCTGGAGGTGCCTCAAAGGAGATGCTATATGAGGTTGGATGAGGTGATCTCGATGTTGTAGAATTATTAGGCCTCTATAAATCTGTAAGGCCCCTTTAAATCCTCTTGCTATACATCTAAGAGGCCCCCATAGTTTTACAAGAAAGCCCTGTCTATAGAACATAGAATTTGCATGTCAGCAAGAAATAGCTTTGATAAAATGTGTATTTACTAAAAGCCTTGAAACCTAACCTTGAGAAACTAACCTTGTGTCCACTCCCGTGTCAAGGATGACATCACCTCTTGATAGGAGGGTACCTAACTAACCACTTAACACCTGGACCAATCAATAGTGTCTGTTTGCTGTTATCTTGATTTTCTTCAATGATGTAATAATGCCTTTAAAAGGGTCTGCGCACCCATTTTCTGTCAGAAGCCATTAAACTTCTCCGGAGTTCTTTCATTAACCTGAACTTTGTGTCTCAGTGTGAATTTACTTCTGCGTGCACGCAACTTTATTATCTTTAATTTGGACAGGAACAGATAGTCATTCAAACTAATTGGTTTGCAGTAAATTATCTACAACATCGACACTTATTGGTATTGGAAAGAAGCAACAGAGGATGTATGATGATGGATGAATTGATAGTGGTGGTTATGGTTTATTATATGAGTCTGTGGGTTCATGCATTAATTAGGGAGATCTCCAAGTGTGTTTGTGATTATTGGTTTAATATACAATATATTGTTTTTTATATTTACAGATTACCTTAGCGCACATTATTTGGTAATTATTGTTTCTCCTTACACACTTTTGTGTGCATTGTTGGTTTAAGCGCTGCCATACTATCTGCACTATATCCCACAGCGCTTACACATTGGTTCTTTTTGTGACATCAGGTGGCCCAGATCTTTCCCCAACAGTACTTCAGTGGGGAGATCACTCATAATAGCGTCCTCCAGATGCTTGGCCCCAAAACCATAGTTGAGGTGAATTTGGGTGGTTGGGAGTTTGTGGATGGCACCTCCTGCTCCCCTCACTGCTACAGTCTTGTTGGTCCAGGCTTGTGGACTGACTTTGTGCGGTTGTACTAAGGTGAGGGTTGCGCCAGTATCTTAGACCCCTTGCTTCCTGACTGTCTACAGTGACCCACTGCTGCTGTTGCTCCTGGTTGTCACTTATTGGTCACCTCCACAGGACTTACCTCCTCCTGGACAACTGTCCACTGTTCCTCAGGGTTGCTTTGCTGTGTAGGAAACTCTTGCTGGTAACAGTGGACTGCCGCCCAAGCTAGCGGAGGAGGTGTGCATTCCCAGTTCCCTCTTTTCCGGTTTGGACAATTATTTATAAAATGCCCAGGTTGGTTGCACCTATGGCACAAATGCCCAGTTCTTCAGAAAGATACTGATGTAGTTGCCTGCGTGAATGGAACTCATCTGGGCAGTGGTGGTGCTGCGTTTGTCACTGCATAGGACGGCCTGAAGGGGGGCCGTCCTCCACTGGGTTCTATTTTTCTGCCATCCTGGTATTCATCAGCCAATCTGACTTCTTCCTCCATGGTTCCAGGCTTACGGTCTCTCACCCAATCCCGGCTCTCTGTAGGTGTATAGTTCAAGCAGTATCAGTTGCAGAGCATCATCCAAAGTTGTTGCCTGGCAGCCCTGCATCCAGTTCTTGGCTGCCCGGTGCATCTGGAAAGTCCACTTAGCAAAGGAGTCTTTATGATTCTTCCTGAGCCCCCAAAACTTCCTCCTAGAGGCTTCAGGTGTCACAGCATACTACTGGGTCAACAACATATACTTCACCCGCTCATAGTTGTGTATGTCTAAGCCTCAGCCAAAACAATTTGCTGCTTAGGATGGCTGCCCATTTGTCTGTTCCAGGGCACATTGCCTTCCAAAATCCTGCAAATAAGCATCTACATCTCTCTATCTACAAAGCTTTTAAATGCAGCTGTGAGGAACTGACTCTGCTGGGTTTCAAACCCTGGTTTACATGGTGCTAAACCTCTTCCTTACCAGTACACCAGCATCTACATAGCTTTTAAATGCAGCTGTGAAGAACTGACTTTGCTGGGTTTCGAACCCTGGTTTACATGGTGCTAAACCTCTTCCTTACCAGTCCACCAGCCTGCCTTTTGCAAATTTACCTAAGATCTGATACCATTGCTTGTAGAGTCAAGGTTATCAGTGACAACTCTCTTCAGCTGTGTCTGGTCAGGTGTCTGGTTCTTGGCCTATAAAAGCCACTTCCTGTCTCTGTACCTTTGCCAGATTATTGTGGTTCCTGTACTCTCTAATCAAGCGTGTTCCTGTTTCTCCTTCCTGTTGCTGAATTTGGACTGTTTTGACTTTGCTGCTTCTCCTTCCCACTGACCTCGGCTTGCCTCACTACGATTATCATCTTTCTGTTCCAGTCTCCCATCTCTGCTTAAGACCAGAAGGCCACTCAAGGCTCAGGGGCTCAACCACCTGGGTAACGAGTGGCTACCTCTGGCAGAAAACATTGCTGATCTGGCTACTGGACTCCAAAACTTTGTAACATCAATATCATTACAGCAGCATAGGTCACCTTTCTGTGTTGCCCTCAATTACTGGATAGTGATGCTGCATCTCCTGGGTATATGTCCATGCTGGACTGCCGTGCTGTCTGAGTCGCTGTAACTTGCTCCATAATTTGGACAATCAGCTCCTGTGGGGAATTTGGTCCCAGCATACAGAGCCGTCATATCACGTCTCTTTGGAACTCTGCCACTTCCCGCTGCATTGCTGGCTTGGTTGCCCTCCATCAGTTCGGCTGCGATTGCTGATTTCCTTTTGTTACTTGCCAACCGAACTTGAGCTTTCAGCAGATCTGTTAGTGTTGTTTGCTTGAGGCTTTCGTACTGCTGGGCCAATCACTGCTCTTCCTCACTGGAGTTCCATTCAA